AGGAGGAGGAGGAGGAGGAGGAAGGCTAGAGGCAGAGTGGACCCCGCCTGGTGGCTGGACCACAAGGCGATTGAAGTGGAGATTTAGGACAGGGAGCTACTGGGCATGAACCGCGACATCACACAAAGAGACAAGGAGGCCTCCAGACCGGGAAGGCGACGTGGAGGAGGGCAAAGGGGAGACACCACATGTGAGCTAGCCTGAGAGCCAAACCTGGGCCCGCTCCTGCGGACGGTGCCAGTGCGGAGAGAGGAGAGAGACGCGTTAACCGGGCAGCTGGTCCGCAAGAGAGCCCTGTGCTTGGCAGAACAGTTCCGCTAAGCCACACACACACACACACACGCACACACACACACACACACCTGGTCGGCCCACTTGCCATTGTCTCTCGCATTGCCAAGGAGCCAGATCTCAACTGGGGGTGTGTGTGGGGGGGGGTGGAAACAGATGCCCAAGTCCCTAGCTGCAGCTTTCCTGGCCCGCTCTCCTTGCAAGCTAAAATGGCGGCCAAGAAACATCAGAGCCAAGGTGACCGTGGGGAACCCTAAGGAAAAACAACAACAACAACAACAACCCACGTTGCCCGGACCTGTTTTCCGCACGGCCCTGTGTGAGTCACTCACTCTCTGGCGAAGGGTGCTAAGTGTGCGAGACACACCACCGCCGCGCCGCTCGGCCGTACGAGCCTGAATTGTGAGTCACCACCTCGCCCGTCAAGGGGGCTCCGTGGTCGGATCGAGACTGAGGCAGACACAGAGGGAATGGGCGGAGGGAGGACCGTGGAAGGTCCCAGCGGATGGACCCCTGGCCTCCGTGCCCTGCAGCCCCCGGCCCCGACACACACATCCCCACAGGGGGGAGGATTCGGGGCTCCTGCGGCCTTCGCCGAAGCCCTAGGCTGGATTTGCATGTGTTCCATTGTCCGGGAAGCCCCATAGTTCCTCCTCACTAGTCGGCCGTCAGAGGTTTTCCCCCAAGGCTGAGGGGCTTGAGGCCCAGAACAAGCCACGACGTGGTAGAACCCATGACACAGGACGTCGGATGATTGACATCCAACCACTGGTTAGATCCATCCTCCAGAACGCCTTCTCCAAGTCTCACGATACTTGGGGGGTTGTGTCTCCCTGTTCTCCAAATTCCTACAGTTCTACAGTTTTCTACCGCATGTGGTGGCCAACTACACGTGCATCCTGGTCTCATTCCCCAGCTGCTCTGCACCCGACTTGTGTTCTTCTTACCCTACAGGAGTATCCATCGGCCCCCAACTCTGCCTTGTGTTACATGCTTTGCGGAGTGGGGATGAAGGGGGACTAGAACCAGGTAGGGCACACAGAAATTGTTCAGTGCTACGGGGCTGGGCAGGTGGCTCAGCGGTAGAATGCGTGCAGCATGCATGAAGCCCCCGGTTCGATTCCTCAGTACTGCGTACTCAGAAAAAGCCAGATGGGGCACTGTGGCTCAAGTGGTAGAGTGCTAGTCTTGAGCAAAAGAAGCTCAGGGACAGCGCCCAGGCCGTGAGTTCAAGCCCCAGGACTAGCCAAAAAAGAAAAAGAAAGAAATCTCTCAGTGCTGGGTCAGTGCTGGGTCTGAAATTCGCTCCACCCCAAAGGTGTCAGGAAATAAACCAACATAACAGCCGGGGCGCAAGAGAGGAAATAGAGCCGATGAGGGAATCGAAGATGAGCAATCAGAGGAAGGTGATGTGTTCGCTCAGCCAGAAAATCCAAAAATTAAAAAAAAGACATGCTTGGGGAGAAGCATCCCGAGAAGCAGCAGCAGCCAGGGTCGGCCTGGGCGGCACGCACGCCCCCCTGTGGCTGCCAGGAGTCCCTGCTCCAGCAGAGGGAGATGCGTATATCAACATGGAAGCCAGGAAATGGAAACTGAGAGGTGTTTTATTTTTCTTTGTGGCTGGTTTTTTGTTCTCTTTTCTGCTTGTGACACCCAAGGAGGAGGCTGGGGACACGCACCTGAAGTCCGACAGGATGGGTGCATGGTGGGGAGACGTGGACGGGACACTGCGCTCAGAACACAGGGGTTCTGGGGCCTGGCAGGCAGGAGTTCACCAGGCCAAGACAAGGCAGCAAATACATGATGCTGTGTTGGGGCAAAGGCGTCTGGGATCCTGGGGAGAGGGGGGGGCTCTCTGTACAAGAAGGGTACCCAGGACCCCGAGGGCTCCTTTGCTGGGAAGCAGGTTGTGTTCTGACCCCCCGAGAGAAGGTCCTAGTTGGACTAGAAAAAGCCCCGGATATGGCACACGGGGGTGCTGGGTGCTGGGTGCTGGGTGCTGGGTGCTGAGTATTTTCCATGGGGGTGGGGGAAGGGAGCAAAGCAAGGGCCCGGAGCGGAAGGAGAGAGCCAGGACTCACCTCTTCCTCCTCGATGCCCGTCAGGTCCCAGAAGTAGCCCAGCCGCATCTGCAGTCTCTTCCAGTTCTCCAGAAACATGGTGGCTTTGAGAGAAGGGGAAAGACGCCATCAGTTTTCGGGGAGCCGATTCGGGGTGAGTCTTGGGGTTTCCCCATGGGTAAACTCCCTGCCCGCCCCCCCCCCCCCCCCCCCCCCCCCCCCCCCCCCGCAGCCGGGTGCCCTGCCCGGCAGCTCACACCCATCACCCCAGCGAGAATTTGGGAGGCTGAGATCTGAGGATCACTTTGTGAGGCTCCAGAATGGAAGTCAGGCCTTTGTGGTCTGGGTGAGGGGCATCCCACGAAGCATGTGCTATTTCCTCCCCTTTCCAGGTGGGGACAATGGCGCTGACGTCTCAGGCCTGAGGCTAGGCGGCTCCTAGGCTGACGTACTCAGGAACTGCTTTGTTGAAGGGTAACTCCCTTGTACCGCTACTTAACGAGGCGTATTGGGAGGGGGAATCGAAAGCCGACGCGGACTGTAAGCTGAGTGTGGGGGTGCATGCCAGCTGTGCAGGAAACACGGGCCGGGCTGGGGAGGGGTTCGAGGCCAGGCAGGCTGAGCAAGACCCTGTCTCCAAAACGCACTATCGGTTGGGCACACAGTGGCTAATACTTGCTTCGCTAAATGGGGAATCAGAGGTTGGGAGGACTGAGGTGCAAGGCCAGTCGGGAAGAAGTTGCAGGAAACCCTACCGCAAGCAATTTAAAAAGTTAGGCAATTTTTTTTTTTTTGTAAAGAAGCTAGGCAATTGGTGGAAAGCCTGTCATCTGTGCTGTGTGGGAAGGCGACACAGGAGGACGGTGATCCAGGTGGGGGGAGGCATGGCTCAGGCGGTAGAGGACCTGCACAGAAAGCACCGAGCCCTGAGATCAATCCTCAGTGCCAGACAGAGAGAGAGAGAGGATAGACAGGTAGAGCTAGGTAGATGATGGGTAGGTAGAAAATAAGAGGATGGATGATAGATGGATAGACAATGGCTGGATAGATAGATAGATAGATAGATAGATAGATAGATAGATAGATAGATAGATAGATAGATAGATAGATAGATATGGATAGACAATAGAGGATGGATGGATAGTTGGATGGATGGACAGAGAGACAATTGATGGATAGATAGATATCTCAGACAGACGGACAGATAGTAGTTAATGATGGATGGATGGATGGATGATGGATGGATGATGGATGGATGGATGGATGGATGGATGGATAGACAGATGATAGATAATAGACAATGATGGATGGATGGGCAGATGGATGGGTGGGTGGATGGATGGACAGATGGACAGAAAGGCCGGGAACATTGCTCAAACAGCACAGCATCCCTCCGGTGTGGAGGAGGCTGGGATGAATGGCCCGGGTAACTGGGACACACCCCGATACTTCCTGACCCTCCCTCACCCCCCCCATACGGGGTGGCCCTTGGCTTCTACTGAGCAAGCATTCAGAAACCCCCTCTCTCCCCGCTTCCTCCTGCAACAGGCCGTCCGTCTCCTGGAGTCTCAAGACACGACAGCAATGGGATTCGGGCAGAAGATTCTGGAAAACGGAGGGTCTGCAGGCCCAGCATCCTCATGACCCCAGGAACCGCCCCCACCCCACCCCCTCAGCCACCTCTCCTCCCCGCCAGCCCGGGACATCCATGCCAGAGCCCGCAGTGTCTGCATCGCCGTAATGAGAGGCATTACTGTAATTCTGAATTGTAATCTGCCGGTGATGGCGCCCGGGGCTGTGGGCTGTTGTAACAGGAACGTAATTATATAAAACCCAGCCAGCCATGGAGGACAAAGGCCCAGCACTGGAAGGCCTCGGCCCAGCCCCTCCCTTTGTCTCTTCCAGGGGTGTCTGCTGTGGGGGTGGGGGCCATGGATTCTGAAGGGCAGGGCGATCTTTTTTTGGGGGGTGTCAGTCATGGGGTTTGAACTCAGGGCCTGGGCGCTGTCCCTCAGCTCTTCAGCCCAAGGCGGGCGCTCTACCACTTGGGCCACGGCGCCACTTCTGGTTTTCTGGTGGTTCATAGGAGATCAGAGTCTCATGGACTTTCCTGCCCGGGCTGGCTTTGAACCGCGATCCTCAGGATCTCAGTCTCCTGAGTAGCTGGGATGACAGGCGTGAGCCACAGCACCCAGCAGGGCCTAGAGTTTTTAAGATGTAGCTAATTCCAGAATAGCAATGCCTGTAACACAAATTAATAGAAGTTGGAATTGTGTGTGTGTGTGTGTGTGTGTGTGTGTGCACGCGTGCACGTATATGCGCCAATCCTAGAACTTGAACTCGGGGCCTGGGCTCTGTCCCTGGGCTCTTTTACTCAAGGCTGGCGCTCTACCACCTGAGCCACACAGCCCCACGGACTTTCCCACCCGGGCTGGCTTTGAACTGCGATCCCCAGATCTCAGCCTCCTGGGCAGCTAGGATGACAGGCGGGAGCCACCGGCACGCCCCAGCTGAGTCTTTCAGGTTCTCAGTGGGTTCAAGTGGGTTTGGGGGGGTGACTGTGAGGTTTGCCCACTCCAGGAAGGGGGGCGGGGGGCCTGGGACAGGCTAAGGGCGTCTCAGATTGCTCAACCGTCTTGTTTCATTCCACTCAAACTTTCCGGACTGTTCCAGAAGAATATAGCCTCACATTTCCTTCCCTCTTGTTTGCTGCTGTCGCCCCGGGTTCCCCTCACGAATGAATGGTGCCCCAGCTCCCTGGTGCCCAATCGAGTCCCAGAGACTGGGGACAGGGCGCCCCCTGGAGGACCAGGCCGCGGGGGGACACCACCAAGCCCGGTACACAGGCGGGGAGGAAGCTGGTCCCTCTTCTTCCTCTTCCTCCTCCTCTTCCTCCTCCTCCTCTTCCTCCTCTTCCTCCTCCTCCTCTTCCTCTTCCTCCTCTTCCTCTTCCTCCTCTTCCTCTTCCTCCTCCTCCTCTTCCTCCTCTTCCTCCTCCTCTTCTTCCTTCTCCTCCTCTTCCTCCTCCTCCTCTTCCTCTTCCTTTTCCTCCTCTTCCTCCTCTTCCTCCTCCTCCTCTTCCTCCTCTTCTTCCTCCTCCTCCTCTTCCTCCTCCTCCTCTTCCTCCTCCTCCTCTTCCTCCTCCTCCTCTTCCTCTTCCTCCTCCTCCTCTTTCTCCTCTTCTTCTTCTTCCTCCTCCTCCTCCTCCTCTCCCCTCCTGCTCACACTTCGTGGGGGAGAGAGAGGAGGGGCGGCCTGGGGTTTAGGGTCCCCATCCTGGCAAGCTCTTCACTGCAGTGGGAGATTAAGTAGGGTGGTGCTGGAACCGCCCAAAGCCCACTCATTCAAACAGGAGTTCAAGAAAAGGAAGCAAATAAAGTAAAAAGAAGCCCCGGCCCTGCCCCGGCCAGCCGTGCACACAGGTTTGTCTCCTATGAGAAAGGTTCAGAGCAGTGTGTGTGTGTGTGTCTGTGTCTGTGTGTCTGTGCATGGTGTGTCTGTGTGTGATCGCCAGTTCAATAATCATGGCTCAGAGCAAATTCGTTACCCTGATACGCTAGGGATGGGAGAAAGAACAAGAAGGAACCATGTGTTCCCTCCCTCCCTCCTTCCCAAAGCCTTCCAAGTGATCATATTGAAAACATCACTCTTTCGTGCTGTCCAGAAAAAAAAGCACTGGTGCTGACATGGGGAGACCAGGATTCAGCCCACCTTTACCAACCCTGACCGTGGCGGGGGGCGGGGGAGGAGCCTGCTGGCACCCCGAGTTTTGCCCTGCACGACACTCCACCATTTGATGTGACTAAGAGTTGTGTGCGAGTGTCGTTGTGCAGGAAGGCTACGTCAAAGCTCAGCAAAACCAAACAGCAAGAAGTAGAGAGGTGGGGACAAGGGGAGAGGGGGGTCACCTGAGAAGGAGGGTAGAATGAGGTCAAGAATCTAATGTGCGGCCCGGCACCGGTGGCGCACGCCTGTCATCCCAGCTACTCAGGAGGCTGAGAGCTGAGGATCGAGGTTCAAGGCCAGTCCCGGGCAAGAAAGTCTGAGAGACTCTGATCTCCCATGAACCACCAGAAAACTGGACGTGGCGCTGTGGCTCAAGTGGTTGAGCGCCCGCCTTGAGCTGAAGAGCTGAGGGACAATGCCCGGGCCCTGAGTTCAAGATCCACCACACACACACACACACACACACACACACACACACAAAGAATCTAATGTGCATACTGCAAAATCAAGAGTTTGGAAAGGGATGGGTGAGAATCATGAAGGGGATCCAAACTGATCAAGACTCATTGTATTCATACACAGTTTTGTTACCCAGCAACTCCTCCGGACAACAACTTAAAGATCTTTTTTTTTTAAGATCTAAAAATGGTGAAACAAAGATTATTGCTTTAGCAAATAGAAGTAGGTCACAGGATCACAGGGGGGGAAAAAAATCTGTGCAGAGCGGGCCCCGGGGGCGTACCACTGGGGTTCAAAACCTGCGTTTGTTTCCAACTCTGAAAAAAAAAAGAAAATCACGCATGAAGTGAACAGGGAAAGAGGAAGGATATCCTGTTCCTGCTTCTGGTCACGTCCATGAGCAAGATCAATGAAGTACTGTCTTTGGAACACGGCTTGAAGGTATGCGTTGTTTCTGGTTTTGTTCTTGTCGTTTGTTTCGTACTGGTCCCTTGGGCGTGAACTGAAGGCCGGAGCACTGTTCTTTCTGTGTATTTGTTTGTTTGTTCACCCAAGGCTAGTGCTCTGCCCCGTGAGCCACGGATCCGCTTGTGGCCTTTATTTATTTATTTATTTATTTTTTTGCTGAGCATTGGAGGTTAAGAGTTTTCTGGGCTTTCTTGCCCGGGCTGGTTTCAAACTGTGATCCTCAGATCTCAGCCTCCTGAGTCCCTAGGGTTATGGTCCTGGGCTCCAGGATGCACGGTAACCCCAAGGTGCCGAGCGCTGCTGTTTATTTAAAGCCCTCCCCCTCAGGCCCACTCACCCCACAGAGCCATGAAGATGGAGAAGAAGACGGTGGCCGGGTTGTCGAACAGGTGGCTGGCGCGTGCGGTGCCGCAGGCCGAACTGAGGTTCCAATAGTCACAGGATTTGTCACACAGGGGACACATGGTAAAGGCGTTCTGCTGGTCACACATCTCCCTGCTGCGGTGGACAGAGAAAACTGGGTTGGGGGGTGCTCCTCAGGGTCTGGCGTGGGCAATGTGGGGGTCCCCCCACCCCTGGTGGTCTCCCACTTCCAAATCGCTGCTTGAGTCGATCCAAACCCCATGTAAGGGCCAGATGCTGGTGAGTTCACACCCGGCATGCTAGGTACCCAGGAGGCTGAGATCTGAGGATCCCGCAGTTCAAAGCCAAGCCTGGGCAGGAAAGTCTCTGAGACTCTGATCGCCCATGGGCACACCAGAAAATGGGAAGTGGTGCTGTTGCTCAAGCAGTAGAGCGCCAGTCTTGAGCTGAAGAGCTGAGGGACAGCGCCCAGGCCCAGAGTTCAGGCCCCACGACTGACAAATAACAATAACAATCATAATAATTTTAAAAATTAAAACAAGCCACAGTAAATGGCTCCACCAGCAGGGGAGGAAGAAGAGTCACAAGAGAACCGGCTGGGAAATCCTGTGGCCTCCGGCGTCTGTACAGCCATTTGTAGGATGGAGATTTTCCTACCTCCACTTAATAGGATAATCTTCACCAGAAAACAGGATTAGGGAAGACTACAAAAGCAAGGTAAACTCTTCCACTGCTCGAGAGTCTCTAACTTGTGGGGAAATCACTCTGGTGGGTCTGGATTCTAACCCTCTCCAAGTACATTTCTGTTTCACAGACGGGCGACCCCAGTCCTGGTCCCAATTATGTATCGGGGGTTTATGGGGACCCAGTATAGTGAATACATTGCTTAGGAAGACGAGCAAGATAATGACCAGCCCTGCCCGTCTCCCCCAGTTTCTAGAAATGAAGGAACGTAATAGATAGAGATGGATGGTAAAGATAAAGAGAGAAACATAGATGATAGATAGATAGCTAGACAGACAGACAGATAGATATAGATAGATAGACAGACAGACAGTTAGATAGACAGAGAGATAGACAGACAGACAGAGATAGATAGATAGATAGATAGATAGATAGATAGATAGATAGATAGATAGACAGACAGACAGATAGACAGAGATAGACAGATAGATAGATAGACAGACAGACAGATAGATAGACAGACAGAGAGATAGACAGACAGACAGACAGATATAGACAGATAGATAGATAGATAGATAGATAGATAGACAGACAGACAGACAGATAGATAGACAGAGATAGACAGATAGATAGACAGACAGACAGACAGATAGATGTAGAGAAAGAGATTAATAGATGGCAGAGATAGACTGATAGGTAGATAAATGAAGATAGATAGCTATTAGAGATAGATGATAGAGATAGTAGAGATAGATAGATTATAGAGAGAAATAGACAGTACTTTTTTGAAGTCTTTCCTATCTCCAATAAACCACCAGAAAACCGGAAGTGATGCTGTAGCTCAAGTGGTAGAGCGCTCGCCTTGAGCTGAAGAGCTGAGGGACAGCGCCCAGGCCCAGAGTTCAAGCCCCACGACCGACAAAAAAAAAAAAACAGATATGGCCAATGAGTACTTAAGGCTAATCTCAAGGTCTGACCAAAACAAGAACAGAACGAACCCAAAGTCAGTGGAAAAAAATTAATAATAACAATAATGACGAAGCTCAGAACAGAAATAAATAAGACAAAGGCACAGAACAATGGGGCAGATCAATGAAACACTTGATTCTTGGAAAATATGAAAGAAACTTAACAAACTCTCAGCTGAGCAAACCAACAGAGCAAGAAGACCCAGACAAACGAAAGCAGAGATGTAAAGAGGACTTGGAGCCCTATGCCACTGAAACCTATCAGATCATTTCAGGGAACGTTTGAAAACTCATCTCCAATAAACCGGAAAATCTGGGAGAAATGGAGCAGTTTCTAGACACCCTGGGAACTTCCAAGATTGATTCAAGAAGCTAAAAGAAAACAAAAAACTAGGAAGATCATCAGCAAGCAACAATTGATAACAAGATTAAAGCAGGAAAAAAAGCCTGATTTTTAAAAGAACTAACACCAAAGTGTCGCACAATAGAGAAAGAACGCTAACTCCTTCTATGAAGCCAGTATTACACTGTTACGCCCCAACCTAACCCAACATAGACCAATTTCCCTGATGCACATCAATGCAAAAAACATCCGCCGGGCGCCGGTGGCTCATACCTGTCATCCCAGCTACTCAGGAGGCTGAGATCTGAGGATCGTGGTTCAAAGCCAGGGCAGGGAAGTCCCTGAGACTCTGATCTCCCATGAACCACCAGAAAACCAGAAGTGGTGCTGTGGCTCAAGGGGTAGAGCGCCAGCCTTGAGCTGAAGAGCTGAGGGACAGCGCCCAGGCCCTGAGTTCAAGCCCCACCAACAACCAAAAATCCCTGTGACTCAAAGCCAGTGACGCCCTGAAGAGGTCATAGAGCAGGGGGGGGATGGAACACGAGGCGGCCCTGGGTTCGAGCGCACCACCGGCTCCATAAACACAATCCACGTGGATTCCGCTCTAGGAGGCCCCGGGCGCCCAGCCGACGTGAACCGGCCTGTGTAACTCGGGGCCCTGGTGGAATCGTGGAAGCCAAGTCTCGGGGGGTGAAGTGCCCTGAAACATGCCTTTCTGCAGTGCTTCCTCCCTTCCCGGAAAGACCTAGACTTGGCGCTGGCTTGACTTCTCCCCCCGGGGCCTCTCTCCCACGCCCCATGTCCCCTCTGGCTTTCCCAGGCCACAGTCTGAGCCTTCTCCCTCGGGTGGGGAGCTGCCCGCTTGCTGGGCCTCTGGTGTTACCGGCCCACGCGGACATGGGGCCTTGGGCTGGATGGAGTTCAGGTCCTGCATCGGGTAGCATCCGACCTGTCCACGTCAGAACCCCCGCCCTGCGGCAGGGGAGGGCCTGGCCGGGAAGGGAGGTGGACCACAGCCCCCGCATGGCTCCAACGCCCGGCCCGGAAGCCGGGGCCCCCACACGCATCTCTGAAGGAGTGCACCAGGGAGGGAGGG